TGACCACACTGCAATCCCTTCTCCTCCACTCTCCTCTTGGGATCCTAGGCATGCATGCACATGCGCCTGATATGAGTTTAAGCCACTGGGTCCGGGACTCGAACCGTGGTCAACTACATGGGAGTCCAGCGACATAGCCATTATGCTAACTGCTGGTCCCTACCCAAATATATTATTTTCGTTCATCTATAGCAACATTAAGCATGAACCCTAAACGAGTCGAACAGAGTTAGGTGAAAAGAAAAGAAAATCGATAGCTAATATAGGTTAGAAAACACTGGGGCCAGTAGGTGGCATGGTGGTTGAGGCTCTGAACTCCCACATGGTCGACCACAGTTCAGGTCCCAGACTTGGCAGCTTACTTTCTCTCTTTTCCTTTCTCTCTCTGGTCCAATTAAAAAATAATATAACAGGGACCAGCAGATTGCATAGTGGTTACATCGCTGAAGTCCCATATAGTTGACAGTGGTTAAAGTCCCAACCTGGTAACTTAAAACTCATGCCCAGTTCGTAGCCATTATGCTAACTGCTGGTCCCTACCCAAATATATTATTTTCGTTCATCTATAGCAACATTAAGCATGAACCCTAAACGAGTCGAACAGAGTTAGGTGAAAAGAAAAGAAAATCGATAGCTAATATAGGTTAGAAAACACTGGGGCCAGTAGGTGGCATGGTGGTTGAGGCTCTGAACTCCCACATGGTCGACCACAGTTCAGGTCCCAGACTTGGCAGCTTACTTTCTCTCTTTTCCTTTCTCTCTCTGGTCCAATTAAAAAATAATATAACAGGGACCAGCAGATTGCATAGTGGTTACATCGCTGAAGTCCCATATAGTTGACAGTGGTTAAAGTCCCAACCTGGTAACTTAAAACTCATGCCCAGTTCGTGGCTGGCAGGTGGTGTGGTGGTTAAAGGCACTGGACTCCCATATGGCTGACTGCAGTTCTGCAGTTCAAGTCCTGGGCCTGATGACTTGCTTTCTCTCTCTCCCATTCTCTGTCCCTCTTTGGTTAAATGTAAACAAATGAATAAATAAATAAATAAAGTTAAATAATTCTTAAAAACAAAAACAAAAAACTCAGGCTGGGTATGTTTGTATGCATGCTCAAAATCTCAAGAGAAGAATGGAGAAGAGATTGTAGCGTGGCCATCCCCACTGGGGTGAGTGATTTCTCATTTTCTATTTCTCTGAATCTGGCAAGTGCATGTGCCCTATAGCAAAAATTTCTCTATAAATAAATAAATAAATAAATAAAAATAATTAGAAACACAAAAAAGGTCATGATATAGTAGTTATTCAGATCATATGAAATTAGGAAAAGGAAGAACTAAAAATGCTTTTGTCAAAAAACATAGGAAGGAGGGGGACCAGCAGTCAGCATAATGGCTATGTCGCTGGACTCCCATGTAGTCAACCATGGATTGAGTCCCAGACCCGGTGACTTAAACTCACACCGGGCGTGTGTGCGAGCATGCCCAAGATCCCAAAAGGAGAATGGAGGAGAAAGGATTGCGGCGTGGCCATCCTCTCTTGGGGGTGATTTCTTGCTTTCTGTCTCTCTGTCTCTCTCTGTCTTTCTGGTGAGCGCACACGCCCTGTAGCAAAAGCCTCTCAAAAAAACAAAACAAACAAACAAAAACAAAACAAAACAAAAACATAGGAAAGAGATCCGGAAAAAGCTCAGCCAGAAGCCATTTAAATCTGAGAAGCCCTTTAAATCTGAGGTGTGTCCTGCCGTGTTCTGGGACCAAGGAGACTGAATCTCTGCTCTAAACCCCATTTCCAGACCCCGGAAAAGCCCAGCCAGAAGCCATTTAAATCTGAGAAGTGGGGCCAACAGGTGACGTGGTGGCTAAGGTGTTGGACTCCCACATGGCCGACCATGGTTGAGTTCTGGATCTTGAGGCTTGTTTTCTCTCTCTTTGGTCAAATTAAACAAATAATAATAATAACAAATGAAATAAAATAATAATTCTAAAATAAAATAAATCTGAGAAACCATTTAAATCTGAGGTGTGTCCTGTCGTGTTCTGGGACTGAGGCCACTGAATCTCTGCTCTAAACCCCATCTTCCAGACCCCCAAATTCTGTTATCAACAATAATGTTGATGGTTAACGTCCAGGACTTAAACAGAAAGCTTGGACCACTGTAACACTGCAAATTTAACTGAAGAGAGATTAATTACATGAGACTGGACTGGTGAAACAGAGTTTTATGACTTTTGACTAAAATAGTACTGATATTTTTACTATGCTTTCTTTTCCAGATTTAAGGATTTTGCTTTCTATTGAGCTGTTGATAGGCTCAGCAATTTGTTAAAATGTTTTTTGCCTTTTTTTTGCTTGATTTTTTAAAAAAATTGAAACATAAACTTTTCTCCCTTCCTGACCCCTCTGGAATTGGAGAATATTTGTGAGTATTCTTATTTTGTGGCAGAAGGGTTATTTGCATAAGTTCAATAATACCCGTTGCCTTGCATCAGAAATTGGAAATACTTGTTATTGCCAGGGCTTTGACTGGAATGTTATATCTGAAGATATGACCAGAAAACTATGTAACTAAGGTGGATCTCAAGAAAGCCAACAGAAGCTCTTGGAAAGATTGCCTGGCATCATAAACAGTTCTGCCTGGCAGGGAGGATTAGAGAAGTCATATGAAAGAATTTGTACCATAAAATAACCTAGACTTTTCCAGCTCAGCATTGTAATCAGAAGAGATCACAAAAGAGCAGCCACAACCAGAGGATTACTTTGAGGAAGTCTTTGAAGAAGGAAAGAAAAGGCCGATCTTTGCTAGCAGGTGGTAAACCACAGACTACTTGGTAGGCAAAACTGAGTTGGGAAGGTTCATGTGTGAATTGTGGGCTGGCTGTTTGCTTCTCAACCGTTTGACTAGTTGACATGTACATATTTTTTCAAAAATATTTGAAAATATACTGTCTCTGTTATAGATTCACAAACAAAATTATAACACATATTTTGAAAGTTATCTTTAAAATTCAGGATTTTTTTTGGAAATTTTGAACTTTTTGTTAAGAAGTTGAAATTCTACATCAAAAATTGATGTACAGCCACTCTATATGGGTTAAGAGACATGAACCTATACTTTTACATGATAACATTCAATCACATATGTTACAAACCACCACAGCAAAGTTAACTGAATTGGACCAAGAAAAGTTGGTGCATCCATCATACACACTAAGACTCTTTTTCAACAGATTACCATTTTTCTCATCATTTGGAACTCTTTATAAGACATAGAACATTCCCCAATTGCCAAGTAATAACTGGAGATTTTGAGTAAATTTTAACAATGCTGAATTTTATTAGCATGGTATATATAATTTATATAACTTATGCAAAGTGTATCATTTGAGGAGAGCACTAGTTGGGAGGTGGCTAGAAAGATTGTCACTTTTTACCATATTAATCATCCCATGATCCCTACAAAGATATAAAGACCTCTTCCTTAATACCCACTCTAGCTAAGTAGCCTTCTTGGCTGATTTCTAGAAAAAGGACCTATTCAAACTAAACTTTCAGAAAACTGTTCTCGGGGCCTAGATTGCAGGGGCTGGTTTCCAGATTTATGCCCTACACCATTCTCTTTAGGGGAAAACTAAGCTACTATCATCCTCTGTTACTTCCATTCCTGCAGTCCTTCGCAATAAAAATTTGAGTCATCCAGGAAGCATTCCTGTCATCCTTTTCATCCCCTACCAGCAAAATATTCCCTCAAGTTTTGCTGATACTATGACTTCCACATTTTTTTCAGTTCCGTTGCTATCCTCTGCTGTCCTCCATCTGCCCCTAACGTGATACCTGAGACATTTGCTGGACCATTTTCAAGTTCACAGATAATACCGTTTGACCTCCTTATATACAATTCTTATTGCCCCATTGCTCTCAGGATGAAGCCCAGACTCCTTCTCATGATGTCAAACACTGCAGAGTTGGCTATAGCCCACTAGCCTTAACTCTTGTGCCCTGTACTTGGTGTACCCACAAAACCAAACTGCTGACCTCCTTGCTTTTACTCATACTGTCTTACTGAAAATAAGTCTCTCTCCTATTCCTGCCCTCCAGTTTCTTTTCCAGCTTTTTAGTGTAGTTGCATAAATATATTCATATTTTTGCACACATTTCATTTTCAACAAAATATCTTGTTTTTGTTTTCTATTAACATGATTTTGGAAGTCATATCACTCCATATAGATCTATCTCATTGTTTCCAAGAGCTGCCATGCTATTCTGCTGTATGCAGACCTCAAGCAATTTGCTGACCACACGTAGGCTATTTCTGAAATTTTGCTGCAAAGTGCAATCTCTTTGTACAAATTTCTTTCTTTCCTTTTTCTTTTTTAGTTTGCTATGGGGTTTGTGGACTGGCTGGAGACAGAGGAAGAGAAAATCAGAAAGCATTCGAAGGTGGGGGAGGCGCCCCAATCCTTTCTTTTCTACTCCACTCTCCCCAGGATTTTGAACATGCATAGACACCGCCCGATGTGTCTTTCAAGACCCCGGGTCCGAGATTCAAACCTCAGTTCCAGAATCCAGCCACAATAACCACCATGCCACCAGCTGGCCAGCACAAATAGACATTGGCGAAAAACGTAATTCAAATTTCTCGAGATGGAATTGCTAGGCCAAAGGCTAGGTGGATTTTAAGAGTCAACTAATTTACTTTTCCAACTAACAACTCAAGTCTGCTGCATTCGAACGTTGGGCCTTCTATAGCGGTATATTACATGTTTGTCAAAGGGTAGGCAGGCACCTTCTAGCATTCCCGTTTGTTTGGCGGAATTGGCGCTCGAATTGTTTGAGTTAACAGATTTTATATACTGCAGCGCCTCCTCCAGGACTTGGGATATAGCACACTCATAAACGTCTATTACAATGTAACTCCCCATTGATTAGTCTTGCTAATATTTACAAAGGATTACGTGCTAAGACCGTCACCACTCTACCCCGGTTGCTCTCTCGTTCTCCTCCAGACTGGAGGGAGCCTGTCCAGAACCACGGCCCGCCCTACCTGTGCATTCGTTGGTCGAGCCTGACGTCAGTTATCGCGGAGTCCCGCCCAGGCCACGCCCCGACGTTGTCCTCCGGAAGGGGAGAAGGCGTGGCTATTTCGTCTCGGGGCGGTCTCTGCGGTGTCTCCGCTGAGACTCCGAGCAAGCTCGAGGGCGGGCGAGGGGGCGGGGCGTGGGGCGCGAGCCGCGTGGGAGCGCGTGCCCGGACCTGAGGAGACGGCGTTGGAGGCCTGGGCCCCGCCCCTCGGTACGCACGCCCCGCGCGGGCTCGCGCACGTGCGCGCGCACCACAAGAACCTCAGTCTGGCCGGCGGGGACGCGGCGGGCGGAGGCCGGGCCGCTGAGGT